ATGGGAGGGAAAAGCCAAATGGTACGAAATTATGTCTATGTTTCCTACGGAATTAGCTGCTGAATCCAACACTTAGAACGACAGAACCCCCAAAAAGCACCAAAACGTATAATGTTCCAGAGATAAAAGATCGCCAATATTTGCAAATCATATGGGAGGGAAAAGCCAAATGGTACGAAATTATGTCTATGTTTCCTACGGAATTAGCTGCTGAATCCAACACTCAGAACGTCAGAACCCCCAAAAAGCACCAAAAGGATCCAAAAGGTATAGTGTTCCAAAGATAAAAGATCGCCAATATTTGCAAATCATATGGAAGGGAGAAGCTAAATGGTACGAAATTATGTCTATGTTTCCTACGGAATTAGTTGCTGAATCCAACACTTAGAACGTCAGAACCCCCCAAAAAGCACCAAAAGGCATAGTGTTTCAGAGATAAAAGATCGCCAATATTTGCAAATCATATGGGAGGGAAAAGCCAAATGGTACGAAATTATGTCTATGTTTCCTACGGAATTAGCTGCTGAATCCAACACTTAGAACGTCAGAACCCCCAAAAAGCACCAAAAGGATCCAAAAGGTATAGTGTTCCAGAGGTAAAGATTGCCAAAATTTGCAAATCATATGGGAGGGAAAAGCCAAATGGTACGAAATTATGTCTATGTTTCGAATTAGCTGCTGAATCCAACACTTAGAACGTCAGAACCACCAAAAAGCACCAAAAGGATCCAAAAGGTATAGTGTTCCAGAGATAAAAGATCGCCAATATTTGCAAATCATATAGGAGGGAAAAGTCAAATGGTACGAAATTATGTCTATGTTTCCTACGGAATTAGCTGCTGAATCCAACACTTAGAACGTCAGAACCCCCAAAAAGCACCAAAAGGATCCAAAAGGTATAGTGTTCCAGAGATAAAAGATCGCCAATATTTGCAAATCATATGGGAGGGAAAAGCCAAATGGTACGAAATTATGTCGATGTTTCCTGCGGAATTAGCTGCTGAATCCAACACTTAGAACGTCAGACCCCCCAAAAAGCACCAAAAGGATCCAAAAGGTATAGTGTTCCAGAGATAAAAGATCGCCAATATTTGCAAATCATATAGGAGGGAAAAGTCAAATGGCACGAAATTATGTCTATGTTTCCTACGGAATTAGCTGCTGAATCCAACACTTAGAACGTCAGAACCCCCAAAAAGCACCAAAAGGATCCAAAAGGTATAGTGTTCCAGAGATAAAAAGATCGCCAATATTTGCAAATCATATGGGAGGGAAAAGCCAAATGGCACGAAATTATGTCCATGTTTCCTACGGAATTAGCTGCTAAATCCAACACTTAGAACGTCAGAACCCCCAAAAAGCACCAAAAGGATCCAAAAGGTATAGTGTTCCAGAGATAAAAGATCGCCAATATTTGCAAATCATATTGGAGGGAAAAGCCAAATGGTACGAAATTATGTCTATGTTTCCTACGGAATTAGCTGCTGAATCCAACACTTAGAACGTCAGAACCCCCAAAAAGCACCAAAAGGATCCAAAAGGTATAGTGTTCCAGAGATAAAAGATCGCCAATATTTGCAAATCATATGGGAGGGAAAAGCCATATGGTACGAAATTATGTCTATGTTTCCTACGGAATTAGCTGCTGAATCCAACACTTCGAACATCAGAACTCAGAACCCCCAAAAAGCACCAAAGGGTATACTGTTCCAGAGATAAAAGATCGCCAATATTTGCAAATCATACGGAAGGGAAAAACCAAATGGTACGAGATTATGTCTATGCTTCCTACGGAATTAGCTGCTGAATCCAACACTTAGAGACAAAAGATTTCACAAACCTTTCCACTATCATCATTGACCTAGACACGTTCTAAGTGTTAAATTCCCCGGTGCGTTCTAAGTGATGAATCTTGATATTTGAACGTTCTAAGTGCGGTGCTTAGAACGTAGACGAATAATCACTTAGAACGTCCAAAAAACGTGAAATATTCATTTTTTTTCCAAAATACGTTCTACCTGATTGTCCGTCGCTATACACATGTAAATACCTATCCCATAATTTACGCTTTTGAGTCACCCGTTGTACTTTCTGAGCCACAAAGCCCAAAAAGGAGAGGTACACACATGTACCCCCACACCCTGCCGAACACAACAGTGCAGTGATTTTCTCAGTTCAGCTTTGCCCTCAAGTACGACTTGCAGGCCGCTATGGTTTGCACCCGTCTTCTAATTGGTTTCGACTGTATCTCTTTCATTCTCTCGCCAGGAGGTGTTGGAGGTGCCACAGACACGCAGGAGAAAGACGCGCTGCAGGCACAATGAAGCTGCAATGAAGACTGTGCAGTCACTTGGCAAAAGACAAGATGAGACATGATGAGATAATATAAGATACTGTATCTATGTAAAGAACGCATTTACAAAAAATTACGGTACATAAACAAAAAATAAGTTGAATACGTAAAGAAGGTGAAGGAAAAAAATGCAATCTGCTGATTATTTCAGAGAAACAAGGAAGTAAATGGAGTCTGGTTTCGAGGTATATTCAAGATACTTCTGGAAGGCAGGTCTGGACCAGTTTTTGCGTTGATTGGAAGAGATCAGGGCCCAGCAGGCATGCATAGAATTTACCAGCCCCGCCATTTGTTTTTCGAAGAAGGAGACATATAGACAGGAGCTGCATGGCACATTTGAGTATATGGTGCAGTTTCATGCAAGACATGACCACATTTTGATGTTTTGAGCGTCTTCCACCTCCTCGTTTCACAGATGCTATACTTTTGCCATAGAAGCCTTATACACGATCTCTCCGAGCAGCAGGTTCCAAATCATTTGTGCGGCCAGTTCGATAGAGCACCTACTGCGGCAAAGCTGTAGCTTCACTTGCCATCCACTACCTTCCCCTGCTGCCTTCCCCACCCTCTTCCTTTGCCCTTACGTCTTCCGAATCTGTGCAGACTTTCTCAAGGTGCTGTGACAGCGTGGAGGATTTATGGATGTCACATGAGTGGGAGGCCTGCTGACAACGGCTTGGCGCCAGATCATGTTGAATAGTGTTGAATAATGAAACAGTTTTGCATCGCATTCCATACGATGTATACAAGTCAATGCACTTCTTGTTTGCTTGGTGACTTCTACTAGATTTGGCTTCAAGATAATTCAATTTTGGACTTATGCTTGTACTGAACTTCTTGATTTGGGGTATTTTGGATGTGTCACATTTCCAAAATCACGCAGCCAATCGAAAATGGACCATGGATGAAATTCCAGGAGGAATACCTCACCTCTGTGGAGACATCCAGTCGTCGATCGAAGCGTGGTCACAAGACTCCGGAACCGCAAAGCCCAGATGTAGAAGCTGCCAAGGCGAGATGCTTGTTGTGCTTCGCCGAGATGGCACGTATAGATACATGTTAGACACATATAGGTTCTCTAAGTGTGAAGATGTGCGCCAAAGCAATCTACTTGCAGCACTCATGTTTACTAATGTTTGATTTGATCGATAGATGTCAACTGTCGATGTGAGTCTGTTCCCCACGTGCCAGGGACACACCACGTCAGAATGCCAGCAGTGTTTAGTGCCCCTTGGTTCACAATGGGTTTGCTGCGCTCGCGAGCCTGGTTGTATCATGTGTTTTTTGGTTGTTTTCTTCTGGAAGGCACAACCGACCAAGGCCGTTCAAATAGATTTCATGAGCGTGAAGTGCCGCCAGTACAGTACTGCAAATGTTCTCAATGGAGCCACAGTCATTTCGTCAAGTCCAACGTTCAAGTCCCCAAGTTCTAGGCCAAAGAAGAAGAAGCTGCACAGTCACGACCATGTGGCCTGGTTGGTGGTGGGGCGCTTCACTACCGTGATGATTTTGCTTTGGATTTCTGGAGGCAGGGCCTTCAGGGCAGGGCGGTGGCCAGGAGTTGAGTCCAGTACTGTGTGCTCAACGAGAGCGGCGATATAATAAGATCTTTCAGTCTTTATATAAATTAAGCCGAACCTGCAGAGTGCCAGAACTGTAGCTCTTCTCACGGGTGTTGAAACCTCCTGCACACATTTTTGATCTCTGAATGTTTGTTGCTGAGGTTTTATTCACATCATCAATTCGTTGCTGGCAGTTGGTGGCACTCCGAAGGACCTCAATGGCAACATCCATGACCAGGCCCTCGTTTGATGATGTCAAGTGGAAAAGATTGGAACAGAGTATATTCGGTTCCTCGCAACACTTTGAAACTGAACTTACTGCTGAGATTTCAGGTTGCTTGGCTATTACCGTGCATTTGTGTTTTGAATTTGGCCGCATGCTTCACTTGAAAATGGTAGCGCTAGACATGCAAACATTTTGGATGAAACGGCAAGTAGCAAACTGCATGAAGCAGGGTCAAGCAAGCAACATCTTCGAATATTGTTGATGTAAATTTACATGCAGAAGGAATGCTCATGTATGAGCCAGTTTTATTTGTCGGGTCAATTTATGATGGTGCTCACTTACTGTATCCAATTGCCTTGTTGGGTATTTGTGCAAGGTTGTCAAATGCTGAGAAAACATTGTGCCCTTGTTTGATTGGCGTTTATTCCCTTGAAAATGCGGTTGAACTTGTTCATATTGTTCACATATTCCTCTCTTTCAGGTGCGCTTACTGCTTCCCCGAAAACTGTCAGCTCAGTGGCCTGAGCCTTCTCGCTTCTTTGAGGTGTGGAAAGTTGATGACAATTCTGTGTTTTATCTTGCAAACTCTTTGCAAACTCTTTGCAAATTCTTTGGCGTTCTTTTGACCAAAGCTGTATCTCATCCCTGAAAGGTAACGAAACTTCAGTGCAACAGCTCCAGTGTGGTTATCAGCACCCCATTTAATGTGTGCCGCAGACTGCACAAGAGAAAGACAGAGAAGGCTTTGTAGTGCAAGCGCTCGGTCTTGTCAACATTTCATGCGTGGATTGTATCAGTTGATTCTGTCAAGTGCTGTCCATGTGTTCGCTTTCTATTTTGCTGACCAGTTTGTATTGCTCAACTCTACAATCATTTGTCTTAGGCACACCGCGCACCGGGCAGTCAATGGCCTAGGCAATACTTCGACAAGTGGTCAGCCGAAATGAGAATGTTCATTGGAGCAAGGTTTTTCTTAGTTAGCCTTGAACACTGACGGGAATAACACGAACCGACTGGTCCCAAGTCAACCTATTTTTGATTTCATGCCACTCTTGCAAGCGATTGTCTAATAACTACTAATAACTCTCACTTGCATAGCCCGCAGAGGTGTATTTTTTTGAACGCACAAGTCCAAAAGTCTTGGCAAGATTTGACAAGTGCCTCTTTGAAGGCCCACTTGCTCAGATCGGGGAGTTTGAGATGAAAGCTGCCTGGTGCAGATCAGGTGAGGAGAGATTTCAGGGTCAGCAATGCCAGTGGATAGCAGCAGACATTTTCCAAATAAAGCAAAATAAAGCATAATAAAGCAAAAAAGTACTCGTCAGAAATACTCGTCAGAAACACAGTGCAAGCTGTCCTGCCTTGACTTCGCATGCAGTGATGATGACAAGAGCACATCCTGTGAGGCCAAAGATGTCGAGCTCTGGAAAAGCATGCCTCAGGGTGGCGTTTGCGGTCATTGGGCGAGGCCATCATGAAAATTTGTAGTGTAGTGTGGCTTCACATGTGGCGCTTGATCTGAACATGTAGCACTCGCCTCAACATGTTGATGCCAGTTTGTGTTGGTGAGTTCATGAGGTTCTCCAATACAGTTGACCAAGACACCCTTTTGATCTAGAGCGATCTGTTCACTAGCAAGAAACCTGTCACTTCATCGCACTTTGCAAGCAGGTTCAGGCCAAGAAACAAGATGCAGCCCACGAACCCGAATGCTCACACGTATGTTAATGGTACAGATGTCGAAACACATGGATATGCAGTCACGCAGAACACTTTTCTGAAACAGTTTATTTGAATAGTCTTGTACATGTTTCCCCTGTTACCATACTGTGTGGAGTGTGGAGTGTAGAGGCTGGAGTGTAAAGTATGGAGTGTACAGTGTGGAGTGTCAAGTGTAAAGTGTAAAGTGTGGAGTGTGGAGCATAAAGTGTAAAGTGTGGAGTGTAAAGTGCAGAGTGTGGAGTGTGAAGTGTGGAGTGTGGAGTCTAGAGTGCGGAGTGTAGAGTGCAAAGTGTGGAGTGTGGGGTGTAAAGTGTAGAGTGTGGAGTGTAGAGTGTGGAGTGTGGAGTGTAAAGTGTAGAGTGTAAAGTGTAAAGTGTAAAGTGGGGAGTGTCGTGTGTAGAGTGTGGAGTGTAGAGTGTGGAGTGTAAAGTGTCAAGTGTAAAGCGTGGAGTGTAAAGTGTGGAGTGTAAAGGGTGGAGTGTAAAGTGTAAAATGTGGAGTGTGGAGTGTAGAGTGTGGAGTGTAAAGTGTAAAGTGTGGAGTGTAAAGTGTGGAGTGTAAAACGTAGAGTGTGGAGTGAGGAGTGTAAAGTGTAAAGTGTGGAGTGTGGAGTGTAAAGTGTAGAGTGTGGAGGGTGGAGTGTAAGGTGTGGAGTGTAAAGTGTGGAGTCTGGAGTGTGGAGTGTAAAGTGTAAAGTGTGGAGTGTAAAGTGTGGAGTGTAGAGTGTAAAGTGTGGAGTGTGGAGTGTGGATGGTAGAGTGTAGAGTGTAAAGTGTGGAGTGTAGAGTATGGAGTGTGGAGAGTAAAGTGTTGAGTGTAAAGTGTAAAGTGTGGAGTGTCGTGTGTAGAGTGTGGAGTGTAGAGTGTGGAGTGTAAAGTGTGAAGTGTAAAGCGTGGAGTGTAAAGCGTGGAGTGTAAAGTGTGGAGTGTAAAGTGTAAAGTGTAAAGTGTAGAGTGTGGAGTGTAGAGTGTAGAGTGTAATGTGCGGTGTGTGAAGTGTAAAGTGTAGAGTTTAAAGTGTAGAGTGTAAAGCGTGGAATATAAAGTGCGGAGTGTAAAGTGTAAAGTGTGGAGTGTGGAGTGTAAAGTGTGGAGTGTAGAGTGCGGAGTGCAAAGTGTAGAGTGTAAAGTGTGGAGTGCAAAGTGTGGAGTGTGGGGTGTAAAGTGTAGAGTGTGGAGTGTAGAGTGTGGAGTGTGGAGTGTAAAGTGTAGAGTGTAAAGTGTAAAGTGTAAAGTGGGGAGTGTCGTGTGGGGAGTGTCGTGTGTAGAGTGTGGAGTGTAGAGTGTGGAGTGTAAAGTGTCAAGTGTAAAGCGTTCAGTGTAAAGCGTGGAGTGTAAAGCGTGGAGTGTAAAGTGTAAAATGTGGAGTGTGGAGTGTAGAGTGTGGAGTGTGGAGTGTAGAGTGTAAAAGGTTGGAGTGTAAAGTGTGGAGTGTAGAGTGTAAAGTGTGGAGTGTGGAGTGTACAGTGTGGAGTGTGGAGTGTAGAGTAGAGTGTGGAGTGTGGAGTGCAAAGTGTAGAGTGTAAAGTGTGGAGTGTAAAGTGTGGAGTGTAAAGTGTGGAGTGTACCGTGTAAAGTGTGGAGCGTGGAGTGTAAAGTGTAAAGTGTTGAGTATATAAAGTGTCAAGTGTAAAGTGTGGAGTGTAAAGTATAGAGTGAAATTACCATGGGATTAATGCGCAGGCAAGACTTACTGTAGTGCCTGGCAACATGATGACGAGATCTCCAAAATGCTGAGCCTGCCATGAGAACTGCAACTCATCTTGTGAAAACGACGCAAAAGTATTGCGCCTGCCACACAAAACGACCTTCGGCACGTGATCGAACAGGTTGGAATGTCACAAAGTGCCGCGCCTGCCACGCAAAACGACATGACAACCTGCTTGGAAACCTTCGAAAAGGAGAGGGTTTGCAGCTTCCCCCAAAGACGCGGCGAGGCCATAGGAAAACCAGATACTCGAGACGAGACACGTGGGAGCATCAAAACGAGCATTTCGTGCGAGACTTCCTCCAATTTTCAAACTTAGTAGCTTCAAAATCGACGTTTTCCTACGAGTTTTCTTATGAACCTCTAAATTTGCTATACCTCAAAATCGATGTTTCGTGCGAGGCTTCCGCCAATTTTCATCACATCTCACAAAATGCCACGCTTGCCACGGAATTTGCACCTTGTCGCCACTTGACGCAGCCCTGACAATGCGATCCGCAAAAAGCACGCAACGCGACGCATCTGAAGTGCTGCGCCTGCCATGCAAAATGACGATGGACACGTCCAAAGTGCTGCGCCTGCCACGAAAACTGCAACTCATCTTGCGAAAACGTCGCAAAAGTATTGCGCATGCCACACAGAACGACTTTCGAAAGCCACGCCTGCCACGCGAAACGCAGCTATGCGACGCTGGAAACATCCAAAAGTGACCCTTTCGCAGAACTTACCATCGGCCCTGACGCGAACGGTTGCGAACTGTTGCGGACGGTTGCGAACATAAACGCAACGTCGAGCGAACACACCCTCAACCTGCAGACCCCCAGAGTGAAACGGGAACCCTTGCTACGCATTCAGGAAAAATCAATGAGCAGGTCTCATGTCAATCCATGCCAGACCGGAGATGCTCGAAACTTCTTCGCGCAATGAAAAGAGACAATTATAGGACCGGATAACCCCACATGTTAACAACTTCTCCAGACTTAGACTGAGCACAGAAAAGCAACAAGGGAAGAGGAAGTATGAGTTTGTATGTATGTATGTATGCATGCATGTATGTATGTATGTATGTAATGTAATGTAATGTAATGTAACGTAACGTAACGTAATGGAATGGAATGGAATGGTATGTATGTATGTATGTATGTATGTATGTATGTATGTATGTATGTATGTATGTGCATGTACAGGTGTGTCACTTTGGTAGTGTGTTAACGATATGTGTACCGGGTGTACAGTGTATGTGATGTTATACGTATGTGTGTGTGAGGTGATATTATCTATCTATCTATCTATCTAACTGACCGACCGACTGACTGACTGACTGACTGACCTAACTAATCTAATCTAATGTAACCTAATCTAATCTAATATAATCTAAGCGGTGGCGGAAGTTTCAAAAATAGGAAACCTATAGGAGAGGTTGGTTGTTGTGAATCAGGGATGGCAGAGCGAAGCCACTGATGGACCGAAAGGTGCTTGAGGTCTCCTCTTTTTCTATCTCTTTCTCTCTTTTTCTCTCTATTCTCTATCTTTCTCTGATTATCTACCTACCTGCCTACTGATCTATCTGTCTACCTATCTATCTGTCTGTCTGTCTATCTATCTCCCTATCTGTCTATCTATCTACCTATCTATCTACCTATCTATCTAGCTGTCTAGTTTTCTAGCTATTTGTCTATCTATCTCCGTCTTACTATCTATCTATCTATCTGTCTATCTATCTATCCATCTATCTATCTATCTATCTATCTTTTTATTTAGCTGTCTCTCTATCTATTTGTCTGTCTGTCTGTCTGCTATCTATCTATCTGTCTGTCTGTCTGTCTGTCTGTCTGTCTGTCTGGCCATCTATCTATCTATCTATCTGTCTGTCTGTCTGTCTGTCTGTCTATCTGTCTATCTGTCTATCTGTCTATCTGTCTATCTGTCTATCTGTCTATCAGTGTCATTCAGTGTCATTCAGTGTGATGTAGTGTAGTGTAGTGTAGCGTAATTTAGCGTAGTGTAATGTAGTGTAGTGTAGTGCAATTTAGTGTAGTGGAGTGTAGTGGAGTGTAGTGGAGTGTGGTGGAGTGTAGTGGAGTGTAGTGGAGTGTAGTGGAGTGTAGTGGAGTGTAGTTGTGTAGTTGTAGTTGTAGTGCTGTGGAGTGTAGTGTAGCGCAATGTAGCGAAGTGTAGTGGAGGGTAGTGTAGTGTAGTGTAATGTAGCGTAGTGTAGTGGAGTGTAGCGTAGTGTAATGTAATGTAGTGTAGTGTAATGTAGTGTAGTGTAATGTAGTGTAGTGGAAGGTAGTGTAGTGTAGTGTAATGTAGTGTAGTGTAGTGTAATATAGTGTAGTGGAAGGTAGTGTAGTGTAATTGAGTGTAATTGAGTGTATTTGAGTGTAGTGTATTGGAGTGTATTGGAGTGTAGTGTGGTGTAGTGGTGGTTGTAGTTGAAAATGTCACAAAACCCTCACGTTTTGGTCACTTTTGACAAGGTCCACAATCCCTTGTGCCTGCCACGCGAAACGACATCTGAACCTCCAAAAATGGTCCGTACATGGTGTGTTTTGTACATTTTGACTTGGAAATGTGCTTCGCGCCACAAAGGCGTGCACTTTTTCGACATCTCAACTGCCAAAAGTCGTCCGACCATGGTGTGTTTTGTACATTTTGACTTGGAAATGTGCTTCGCGCCACAACGGCGTGCACTTTTCCGACATCGCAACTTCCAAAAGTGGTCCGACGCTGAGGTGTTTTGTACATTTTGACTTCGAAATGTGCTTCGCGCCACAACGGCGTGCAATTTTTATCACTCATCTGGCCAGCTGGCTCCGCACCCGCCGCTTTAGCGAGCCCACTTTTCGACCCTCCGGAGCCACAAATCATCGGAAAAACAGAGTGTTTCGTGACTTTCCTACCTTTTCGCGCATCTGCATCTTCTTTCTTCTTACTCTTTCTCTTCTACTCTTCTTTCTTCTAATCTTCCTCTTCTCTCTGCCTCTTCCCTGCTCTGCTTTTCATCTGTTATTGTCGGAAGTTTGACTTCTAAACTT